ACTGATGTTACCATATCATCATACACACACAGTAGTTATCTTTAACTATATGTTTATTGACTGATGTTACCATATCATCATACACACACAGTAGTTATCTTTAACTATATGTTTATTGACTGATGTTACCATATCATCACACACACAGTAGTTATCTTTAACTACATGTTTATTGACTAATGTTACCATATCACCATACACACAGTAGTTATCTTTCACTATATGTTTGTTGACTGATGTTACCATATCATCACACACACACAGTAGTTATCTTTAACTACATGTTTATTGACTGATTTTACCATATCATCACACACAGTAGTTATCTTTAACTACATGTTTATTGACTGATGTTACCATATCATCACACACACAGTAGTTATCTTTAACTACATGTTTATTGACTGATGTTACCATATCATCACACACACACACACTAGTTATCTTTAACTACATGTTTATTGACTGATGTTACCATATCATCACACACACACACACACTATTTATCTTTAACTACATGTTTATTGACTGTTGTTACCATATCATCACACATACAGTAGTTATCTTTAATTACTTGTTTATTGACTGATGTTACCATATCAACAGATTATTTATCATTAGTTCTAATTTCCAGTTCTCTATTTGTGTACTTCAAACAATTAAAGTCACACATAAATAACACTAATCAATATTGAAGGATAGAGTGAAGAAAATTATTCGTAATGACACAAGTAAGTGCTTTGGAAGACACTAATTATCACGTATGTATTATCTAATATTATTTACGTTCTCTGATGTCCATCCGCTGTTTCGCATCTTATCTGGTATTTCCATTTTCTCTGCGTTTCAACAAGAGAAAGACTCGATGCGTGAGAAAAACCCATAAGTCAACACCACTAGGTCTCCATCGTGAATGTGCTTTTCAAAATGGTATATTGCGGCTCTTAAAGGACAGGTGGAGATGTTAAAAATGTTGAGAACAATGAAAGATAATTTTTTTTTTCGTCACATTTTAATGTCTGGAAACCATCTCCGAGAATATTAGAGAGCGCACGTGCTTCCAAACGGGAAAAAGTGCACGTGGCAGCTTCTCAGCGTTCGCGCGAGAAAGTGAGAAAGTCAAACAAAATGAAAAAAGAATAGATAAATAAAACAGTAATTCTAACTTATTTCTGTCACTTAAGATTTTTATGTAAAATTTAAGAGCAATTTATTGTGGTAGGCTGCTGTCAGACAGTAATTAACCAGCGGAGTTTGTTTTTTAACATCGACGTGTATTCTACATTAAATAATATTTTATAAATTATCACACTTCTTTCTCCTATCCAGTAATGAATTTCATAACATATTTCGTAGTATATATATTTAAAGTTGTTTAATGAAAATCGTAACTTTTATAGTTTGCCAAGAGTAGGTTTTGAAAGTGTGATTTAAAATGTAATTTATTTTATGATCATAATTAACTGACCAGTTTATAGGTAATGGGTTATATTATGTTCAAATGTGTTCTATTGGGTAAGATATTTCATAATTATAAAGGTATTAAAATGGCATTTGTAATTTAAATACTCCAATTTATTAATCACAAAAACTCTGTGCTACCATTTAACGTTTTTTTTTTTCAAATAGTGTGTTGCTATTATAGATACATTAAGTCCGTTTACAATGAATATCTATGCGTCGTTAACATATTATTTTCTATTCGATGTGAATAACAAAATTCTTGTTTCAATCATTAGATCAGCTCGGTATAAAAACTGCCAGAATTTTCCTCGAGGACTTCTATTAACCTTCGTGTGTTTGTCTTTTTGTGTGTGGCTTCCAATGTTTGACATTTACTTAAAAATAGGCTTAGTTTATTCGAAATTCTTTGTTTGTAGTTAAGCACAGAACTACAAAATGGGTTATCTGTGCTCTGCCCACCACGGGTATCGAAATCCGGTTTCTAGCATTGTAAGTCCGCAGACATACCGCTGTGCCACTGGGGGGGGGGGGCACAA